AGGTACAGTAGGCGGTCGTTCCAAATGACCGCTGTCCAAACTGCGGCAGAAGGGAGACAGCACAACACGCTATATACGTTCGAGTGTTTGGTGGCGAAGGGCGTCTGGCACAACACCCCTTAGGCATTCGCACAACTCTCATGGGAACACAATGTGGGCTGTTTGCAAAACTGGTGTTTACAGTGACCTCATACGCACTGGGGCTGCGACGCTGTTTGGCGGAAGTGACGGCACAAACCTCATAGAAGCGCCTATCTTGCACTCTAGAAAATACGCGTTATTGTGAAGAATTACCTGGATAAGCAGCTGGAAACACATGGCGAAGAGCCTTTCCTTCGACGATGGCAGACACGTTTTTTCAGAGTAAGAAAGGGACAGCTGGAAGGAAGAAGGGAAGGAAAATGAAAGAGAGAAAAGGCATGAATGTAAACCCGTTTGGTATAACTGGTAGGCTAGCCTGCACAGTAGGAAGTAATGGGGGAGATTGAAAAAAGAGTAAAAAAAGAGCGAAAGAGAGGGGCAGCACACGTGCACACACCTAATGTCACCGCGCAGAGCGGCAGTCTAGTGTGGTATACGGCATAATTAGGAGTCTACAACCATTCGTATAAATCTGTTATCTTAAGGAATTTCAGCAATGCGTTCCTTGCTTGAATTCTTGATGTCTTCTTCCAGAGTTGCCATACTAGCCAAGCTTCCACTCTAGTACGCATGCATGCGTGGCATTCTTCGAAATGTGAACGATTCGATCCATTTTATTTTTTCCCTTTAAATTTTAACATTCGGACACAGAAATAAATTGGTGTTTCAGAATTCATTTGTGAGATGCACACACTGTTTTTACACTTTTTCGTTGTTTTGTTTGTTTATAAGCATTTTACGAGTACAATAAAACTTCTCTTCTTGAAGGCGTCTGACCAATTGGAAAACCCACAGTTTTATGAGTTCAGCCTCATTATTTTATTGAAACGAGATATATATATATAAGCTAACTAGAAAGAAAAAATCGCAAAAAAAATCTTTTCACTGCAGCTTCGTGGGCAGCGAACATTTACCAACCGCAGAGCGCGCACTTGAGGTACACAGCGAACCGCTCAATACGTTCAATTCCACGTTCAATACGTGAATTCTACGAGTTACTGTGAAGCTATGTTACAATTTCAATGATGACATGTTTACAGCCCTCCTATGTGTCACGCCTGCTTCAACTATGCCGCACATTCTTTGATGCTTATGCAGTATTGAAGTTCGTTGCTTGTCTGTAGCAGACAACGAATTATCAAGAAAATAAAAAGCGTCTAGCTTCTTGTATACCGACTCCGCTGTGTCTGTGAAATGGTATAGAACCCGCAGGGTGGTCTCCAAGTCGTAAAATAAAATACCCGAAGTATTGTTGTACATTTTGGACAATATCCACGGTGGTCTTGATCACTTTCTTGCTGTGAGACTGTGTAACGTTGTGGTTCTTCTTTTTGTTTCGCACAACGTGCAGGTTCGATTTGGGAGGTCTGAGGAGCCACCTCAGGACCCCTCCCGAAAGACGAGCCTGTTTGACGCAAACACTTAATAACTATAGCTTGAGAACGCTTAACCTAAATATATCGAGTCTCATCTCTCGAATACAGCTACAAACAAATCTTCATGCTATAAGTTAGTCACTAATCATCAAGTCCTACCACTCAGTCCCTAAACAAAAAGTCCTAAGCACGCAGTTCTTATACACAGAGTTTGTCGCGGAACGTCAAAGGAGCGGCATCTCACCGACGTCGCTGCGTAGGAGCTTCGGCGCGAAGCACGGGGTCGATGCTGTTGTCGTAGTTGGCACCAGCGTTGGGCAGCTACACGAACCATCAGAGAAGCCGCCTTGCTATGCTGCCGGTAAACGCTGCACCAGCTCCATTTTATGCACTGGCCTAGAGGTAGAGTCCCGGCCGGACAGCCTCGCCTGAGCTCGAGCCCGAAGATCGACAGCTCAGACCTGTCCACGGGCACGGGAACGTCAGCGCAGCCTGGTAGTCCTGGAGCCACTCAGGTCACTGGATGATGGAGGTAGGGGCCTTGGCTCGGGTCTGAAACCCGACCGCCCTGATGCGTGGCTTATCTTCCTCTGGCCACCGCTGCGACTTTTCTTTTTCTTCTCTGTCTTGCGCCTGCTTTGAACGATGCTGCGTCTGCATCTAATTCACCTCAGTCATTTCTTGTTATTTATTAACATTCGTGCCAGCTTTTTCTTCCTTGCAGACTTCCAACTTCGTTCATGACGCGCACTTCAAATTCCGCTCACCCCGTTTCAAGTTTCGCACACTCCACCCGCTTTGAATTCCTAACACTCTATCACAGAGCCCCCCCCCCCTTTCATTTAAGTTTTTTTTCTAAAAAACTGTTGTTAAGTGCGCGTTTGGCACCACATCAGATATTCACTATATATATCCCCCACACTGTCCACTAAATTATCCGAAGGTCCACATTCACTAACCATCAAATACACATCGTCCAAATGTTCACACTTCCAAACTTCAGATGCACCTAATCGGACTTGAAAGTTATGAAACCCAATATCAACCTGTTGCACACACGACTATTTCGTACATATATAATACACTGTCATGCAAAACTGCATACCATGTTACCCTTAATATTACAGGCGAGTTCATAATCAACTATATGCAAGAGATACCCTTCCGTGGTCAACAATCAAGATCCAAAAAGCCACCGGTGATTTCGGCATGATGCTCAATTTATAGCGTCCCACAAAAGACGCGGAACAGCCCTGATCACCTGGCTGGAGGCAAGAATGGGATGGCCTTGAAAGAATTTTTGACAGTAGGCTCTCAGCCAAAGCATGGCAGAGAGATTGGCAGCCAGGTACCTGGAAATAAGTTGGAGGAAGCCCAATGATCAGTTCAGGTCCGAGGTAGAGAGAGACTATGACGAATTACCCACAGAAGAAGGCTCAATATCATTTGCAAGTGATGTGGCTATCTGCGAACGTGCAATCAAAGACACATTGACTTCGGCAGCGCATACGCTGTGAGAACACCCTGATGTGTGGCTCGTCTTCCTCTGGCCACCGCTGCGACTCTTCTTTTGGGATGGCGCTGCGAGCGTGCAACCGTATAGGTCGTGCAGCACACTGGCTCCGACGATTTTCGATCGGAACTTCGGGCTACCTCTTCGAACCTCCGAGGTAATCTCACCACCGTCACCGGAATGTGATCCGGTTCTTCTGGATACCTTGTTTCGGGGAGTGGGCCCTTCTACGTCTTTCACGGGCGACTTACGACTCGACGACGCCGGCGGCGTCGCTCGGCCTAACGGCCATGGCGCCTCCTGGTAGAACGGGCGGCCGGCCCCGCACCGCAGCCGCAACCGTGGCGGACACCAAAACTAGATATGATCCTGACAGAATGATGTGGACCACCATCTCGTCTTCGGACAGCCGACCGGAGCTGTCCCAACCCTTCAAGAGCACCGCGCTTGCGGCCGCGGTCGCTCGTGACGAGCAGGCGAGCGATGCACACATGGTGGCCTCCGCCAACGCGGCATCCCTGGCTGCAGCTGCTGACGCTGATGCTGACGGCTGCTCGTCAACACTTTCACCGCCTGCGACGCTCTCCGCGGACCTGAGGCGGGGACTCAAGAGGCCTGTGTGGCACCCTCAACCCCTGCCAAAGCCGAAAGCAATGGACTTACTTGTTGTGTTCAAGCCCAGGACCCAGCTGTCCCTCGCAGCCCTTTTCCTCAAAAATGGGGCCGGTAGCGCGCTCATCGCCCACCTCGGAGCGACCACGAAGCGGCTGGTCACCGTTGTGATGGTGCGGGACCAAAATCTCATCTTGATGTACGCCTCGAACCCGCATTTAGCAGACAAACTTATCGGTGAGTTTGCGGTTCCCTCACCTGTCGGACCAGTGCCCTTGTTGGGGTACCTGCGTGCGGACACTCAAGGCACATGTTATGGAGTAGTGATGGTGCGCAGCTCCGACACCGAAGCTGCTCTTCGTGAAAGCCTTTACTGGCCCGACGGCGAGATCCTCCACGTCTGGCGACTGGACACCTCTAATAAGATGCGTCTCACCTTTTCCGGCAAGGTGAAGCCCCGGTACGTCTCCTATAACGCCCTGCTTATCCCGGTGCAGTCTTACAAAAAAACTGTGCCAGCCTGCAGTCGGTGCGGCTCCGTTGGGCATCGACCCGACGCCTGTCCCGGCCCTAAACCAGTCGTTTGCGGCATCTGAGGACAGGCGGTGCCACTCACGGATGGCACCCGCGCTCCTCACGAATGCACGCCCAGGTGCGCTCTGTGCGCAGGACCCCACGTCACCGGGGACCGGTGCTGTAAGGAACGCTACAGGGCGCCGCCACCAAAGCCGCACAATGTTCCACCGAAAGGTCAAGCCGGCCCCAAGAAGAGAAAACATCGGCGCCCACGGAAGCCACGGAATCCGAGCTCTCGGGTATCGCCACAAGGGGCTCAGCCCTCTACCACCAACCCTGTTCCGTCCCAGCACCCTGACGTGGCTGCTGTCGGGTCTTCCCGGCGAGGCCCGATTCTCAAGCCAACGGGCCTACTACGGATCTCAAGCCAACGGGCCTACTGCGGGGCAGGGTTCGCCAGACCCGCCTAAGCTGAACCCGCCGTCACCAGGACACAAATCTGCTGGCCAGGGGGATTCATCGTGGGCTACCTGCGTTCGGCAGGGACCTCAGTTGAGCGGCTCGGGCGGGGCAGCCTTCCAGCCTCCACCCTCCATGATCCCCCGACCCAAACCGCGTACCCCTTCTGGTCCCATCTGGGAACAAATTGAATTCCGCGAGTTACAGGCCCAAGTTGCCTCGTTAATGCAGGCAGTGGAGGCGCTTGCGAAGGGCACGTCCTTACCTACTCCGACACCCTCCGGGCAGGCGCTGGAGGCGATGGATAGTGCCCCCTCTCAACATTGGACAACGTGGTGCTCCTCGCACCGATGGAGGCACGTCTTAGTAGCTTAGAGGCCCAGATGGCGTCCATAGTGACCACTATTGTGGATAGATTGGCTGCCACCCTTCAAACCGTTTTCGACCGCATCCCGGGCATGATAGTTGCCCAGTTGCCCCAACTTGCTCTTAACACCCACCGGTCTAAGCTTGAGCGGGTGTCTAACTCTCAAGCATCCTGGCCCCTTTCCCAGGTGGCTGCGGTAGACGAAACAGTTCGACTGCGACCTCTGAAGTGAGCACCGGATCAAGCAGGGGAGCCCCAGTTAGCCCCTTTGCTCTGGTGGAGGCCCCCCTACAGTACGCTCCAACGATGGCGAGCGACGGCCCTAGATCGTACCGCGGCCACTAATTCGGATCTTTTTACGATCCTACAGTGTAATTGCCGAAGATTTAAGGCACGCTGCAATCGGGCTGCTCTCCGGCTTCATGTAGAAAACTATCCACATTTGCCTGCGGTAGTGGCCCTTCAGGAGCCGGGCGAGCAAGCTGCTCCCACAAATTATACCGTGTATCAAAGGGATGCGCAAACCGACCTCTGCGTGCATCGAAATTACACCTCAAACCAGGTAGATCTCGACTGCGATCCGCTTTACTCGTATGTTATAGTGACTATCCTCTCGCTTAGGAAGCAGAACGCGTCCTTACACATCCTCAACATCTACAGTTTGCCCAAACTCCGTAACGTAACTTATAATGCTGTTTTTTAGCAAAGCCCTTGCAGTGGCAGGCAGGGAACCGCTAGTCATTGTAGGTGACTTTAACGCCCCTAGTCCCCTCTGGGGCTACCATAAGGAAGAACGGCGTGGTATAAAGTTGGCAGAGCTTATTTCTACCCTAGGCTTCACCATCCAAACCGACCCTGCACAACCAACCCGCATTGGTAACTTTGTAAGTCGAGACACATGTCCTGACCTTACACTTACCAAGAATATCAAGCATGCAGACTGGTTCAACACTGAGGAAACTCTCGGCAGTGACCACTGTATTCTCCTCACTACCATTCAAACGTATCTCCTTACCCGTCCCCACCAACACACGAAACTTCCGGACTGGACGAAGTTCCGTTCAGAGTACACGACTCCGGCTTCCATAGCTCAACAAGGCTACGCCACTTGGGATCAGCACCTTGTGACGTCGCTTCGCCAAACTGAGCAGACGATTAGGCTCTCAGAGGCCACGCCGGTGGTAGATAACCATCTCCTCCGTCTCTGGGAGGCTCGGCATGGCCTCGTCCGCCGATGGCGCCGACAGAAGCATAATCGTCAGCTCAAAATCCGCATCGCAGCCCTCACCCGAGAAACAGCCGAGTACGTGGCCCAGCTCGCTGACTCCGATTGGGTAGAGCGCTGTAACAATGCTGTTAAGCATATGTCAAACCGCAACACGTGGCGTTTTTTCAGGGCCCTCATCGACCCCAGGCAAACCCGCACAGAAACGCTAAAGCATCTTCAACGCGTGCATCACGTCTACGCGGGTGCCGCGGATAAATTGGCACAGGCTCTTAGGGATAAATATCTCTGTGGCCGACATAACCCCATCAAACCGGTGTACTCATACGCAGGCTCAGAGAACGCAGACTTGGATTGTTGCTTTCAACTCCACGATCTGAAGGCGGCCCTGTTCATGATGAAGCGAAGAACAGCGCCTGGTTGGCATCGAGTGACGGTTAAGCTTTTAGCCGACCTCCCAGACCTGGCATACGTTCACCTCCTCGACTACTTCAGTCGAATTTGGGAGGGGTACGAACCGCTCCCAATTGATTGAAAAACGGCCCTGGTAACTTTTATTGCCAAACCGGGCAAGTCGATAAATATCGAAAATCTCCGACCCATTTCCTTAACCTCGTGTGTGGGGAAGCTTATGGAAACAATGGTCAGGGATAGGCTTTCCAATTACCTCGAGGCCCTTCGAACCTTTTCCGACACTATAAACGGCTTCCGTCCACATCTCTCTGCTCAGGACTTTCTCTTGCAACTCCACCGTGACGTTATTGAGCCGGTAGAACATCCCAGTGACGACAAGGTAGTCCTCGCCTTGGATCTCAAGGGAGCTTTTGATAACGTCATCCATGAAATAATTCTTACCCATCTGTCCCAAACAGACTCTGGGTGTAATGCTTTCAAGTACATCCATCAGTTCTTGATGGAACGGCAGACGTACCTCCACATTCAAGACAAGGAGCACAGTCCGTATCTTCTAGGTACTCGAGGAACACCACAGGGAGCGGTCCTCTCTCCCCTTAAGTTTGAGGTTGAGTTTGAGGTTGAGTTTGAGTTTATTCAATCACGTACCAAGTACACGAAAATACACTGTATACGTGGTTTGGTGCGAAAAGAAAAAAAGCTGCATTTCACAGCTTGACTGGCCCCTTCACCCAGAAAAAAAACTAAACTACAAATTTACAAAAAATTACAAAAATTACAGGCAGTGGAAAGCGACAATACAAAAAGAAACACGCATGTGGCCCATGACAGCAAATAATAGAATCACAACCTTCTGTTCAATCTCGCCATGGCTCATCTCCCCCCACTGCTGAAATATATCCCCGGTGTACGGCACGCTCTGTATGCCGATGATATCACGCTATGGGCAACACACGGTTCTCTTAGCAGCATTAAGGCCAGCCTGCAGCAAGCAGCATCGGTCGTGGATGACTACGCCCATCGCTGCAGCCTCGAATGCTCCCCACCGAAATTGGAGTATGTACATCTTCGCCCTAAACCAAAAGACACGACTCAAATCGTACTTCCCCTGCGCACCGGGCCTATCCCGCAACGCGAAGAAATCCGCGTTTTAGGGCTCTTTATACACAAGAGCCGGAAACTCGATACCACCCTGCGCAAATTACGTACAGTTGGGGATCAGGTGGGCCGCATGGTCCGCCGAGTCTCGAACAAGCGAGGGGGTCTCAGATGCCGTGATGCTTTACGCCTCGCCAACGCTTTTGTAACCAGTCAAATTCTTTATTCGACACCCTACCTACGTTTGCGCAAATGGGATGAGAACACGCTGGACAGCATTCTCCGAAATATATACAAGCGCGCCCAAGACCTTCATATAACGACGTCCACCCAACGTCTTTCAGAGCTGGGCATGGCCAACACGTACGGGGAACTCGAAGAGGCCCATCTCAACAACCAGTACCTGCGGCTTACCAGGTCGCACGCAGGGAGATGTCTCTTATGCCGCCTCCATATCTTTTACACCTACAATGCAGAGGAGCGGACCACGATCCCAGAGGAGTGGCGTGGAGCGTTGGTTATCCAGCCTCTGCCTCAAAACATGGCTAGGGGGACTCACGAAGGCAGGCGAACGGCGTGGGTTACAGCTTTGCAGGAACGCTATGGGCCCTGTCTTGGAGTCTTCTATACGGACGCGTCCGGCCCTCACCATGGGGGGGGGGGCGGTACACGGCGGCCGTAGTCTATCAAAACGTGCCTGTCCAAGGGCTCACATTTCGAGCCACAGACATCACTCATGCGGAGAATGTCGCCATAGCTCTTGCCGCAGCGGACCCCGCATCTCGGTTTATTATTACCGATTCGCGGAGCGCGAGTCAGAATCTTGCTAAAGGTCGTATCACCGTTCGCGCTGCTTGAATCCTCAAGCGCTGTGATTATATGGACCACTCGAATACACGTTTCGTCATCTGGACTCCCGCTCACGCAGGACTAGGTGGTAACGAGGCTGCCGATGCCTCGGCCCACGCGCTTGATTTCCGCGACCCGCCTCGGCCTTTATCGCCTGATCATCCGGAACCTATTCCGGTAAACTCCTTTCGCGAAATTACAGCGATGTACAAATCGAACAGGCTCCGATTTGCACCCCCAGAGCCGGGCCTGACTAAGTCTGACGAGCACTGGCTGTTGCGCCTTTACACCAACACAGTATTGTGCCCGGCTATACTTAAGCACTTCAATCCGGCCTTCTCTGGGGAATGCCCGTACTGTGCCCATCCACTTGTGGATACTTTTCACCTGGTGTGGGCATGCCCTTCTAACCCGGTGGTCCCCCCAATCACTTCCCCTACACCCCCTACCCGAGAGAGCTGGGAGGCTGTCCTGCTCGGCCTTGGCGGGCCAAAGAGCCCTCGTGGCCAGGGCGCGTGCTGCCGCAGAAGCCACAGGGGTCCCGGACTAGGGACTCCTCCTAGAGCTTGTAAAGGGTCGGCCCTTAACGTCGTACCTCTCTCGGAAATGTAAATAGTTTCAGTAAATGTTTTTCACCACCACCACCACTCTTCTTTTCCTTCTCTGTCTCGTGCGTGCTTCAAACAATCGCTGCGCTGAACTGGCGCTTCAGTCATTTATCGTTTGTTGGTTCAAATCTGTGCCAGCTTTTTCCTCGTTGTCGAGTTTCAGCTTGGTTCACGGCAGGCACTTTGAATTCCGCTCATTCAATCCGTTTCAAGTTCCGCGCACTCCAAACACTTTCAATTCCGCGCACTCCATCACAGACTTCAAGTCCTTTCAGTAGCTGTGAGCGAACGAAAATTTCTTTACATTGAACACAAATTATTTGGGTGAACTGGTCATATTATCAGGCGCACAATCATAACTCTTTCCGCAGCGTCAAATGAATCACCATAACAGAGTTTCGGCACTCAAGGGTTATTTACTGCTGCGCAATGCATAATAATTCTTATATTTATTTTACCCTCAACAGTCAAATAATGGCATGTCTCATAATTATAACGTGATTTTGGCTCGTCAAATCCTACTTATTACCCCCGCCATGATGGTGGCTAAGGTACTCGTCTACTGACTCGCAGGTCGCAGGATGGAGGCGAAAGTGCTGTATGATGGAGGCGAAAATGCTGTATGCCCGTGCGCTCAAATTCAGGGGGTCGAAATTTCCGGAGCCCTCCACTACTGCGTCTTTCATAATCATATGGTGGTTTTGAGACGTTAAACCCCACAAATCAATCAATCAATCAATCCTACTTATTATGTTCGCTAGCATGAATATACAAAAACAAAGAAACGTCAGTGGATGCGTCCTTTCACAAGAGTGACTCTTTGCCCCCTCTTCTCCCAGACACACTATTTCGGAGAAACGAGAATTTATGTCTGTTGATCGATGGGGCACGCACACACTCCGCTCGCCTAATTATATGTAAATTTGATATTGTATTGTGCGCTCACAGAAGACTTATGTTTGGTGCAATGAACCTCAGCCATATATTTCAAAACGCTTTTTTCGACCTTCTCGGCGTTCTTCGTGCCCCTCTTTATTTCTCCCCCCTTCCCCCTAGTTAATTATGCACCAACTTAACCGACTAAGAGTCTTCTTTGAAAAAGGGTGCCTTTGGCAGCGTAGTTTGCGAAGCAGTCCTGCTAGGAGACCGTCGGCAGCTAAGGTATCGACGCTATCCTCACCGGTCCCTCGGGAGGGCACGCGTCGTAATAAACTGAGGTTCCCCGGACTAAAGCACACAAGGTTCTTGGCAGCTCTTTGGACGCTGAATAAGCGCCCAGGACTCGCCGAAGAGACGCTGAATTAACGATGGCTGTGCGCGAACAAACGCCAAGCTATTTGGTGTGCAAAAAAAGCTTTAAATGTCGATTGTTATCAGTTACAATTTTCAAAATTTCCCGCACTTGATTTCTTGTCTTTTATCGCCGTGCACCACGGGGTCAGACGTATACACGTACCTCTATAGACATACATAGCGACAAAATCTGGCCGTAATTATCTAGCATCACAAAATTTGGTCTCATCTGACAGATTGACACCAGTAAGATACATATTCCTTTGGTAATTCGCCAGTTACCTATCCAAGAGCAGCTGAGAAAACGTCTCACAAAGAAGCCCTCTATAAATTTAGGTAGGCTTGTAACTGAAATGTCTAATAAATAAATACATACGGAAACCAAATCAATTGTATTACTCATATATCACTGCATTTGAAAGCACGTAAAGGGTTCAAATGCAGGCTGCGTTGCTGACTCTTCGGCTACAATTTTATGGTGACCACTCCCCTGGATTCTGCTAATATAATAATATTATCTGGAACTTTACCACCCCAAACCACGTTATGACTATGAGAGACAACGTATAGGGGAGAGCTCCGGAAATTTTCACAATTTGGTGGTTAAATGGGCACTGATGTGCAAAACGATTTTTTTTTCGTTTTAGTAAAGTAAAATTTCACAATCTCGAAAAGACTAAATTTACCGCGATCTCACGTTTGATAAGCGAGAAAACACGCGAAAAGAAGATGCGGGGGAGGATGCCACCTTGAAATTATCGCACCAATCAGAGTGATGTTAGAGATACTGGAACCTACGTGGCCTTATAATAAATAAAAATGATGCACGTTGTCATTTCTGGCTGTCATAAAACTATACCATATGAAGTTTCAGAAATTTTTATCGAGCCGGTGTCACAAAAATACCAAAAAAATTGCCCGCAGCTTCCCTCGGGGGAACACTGAGGAGGATGCGGACCATATAATTGGTTAACGGGGTGTTAAAGTGCGACTTACTTGGGTCGATGGCTAAATTGGTTAACGTGGTTGTGAAATGGGGTGTTAAATTGCGACTTACTTGGGTCGATGGCTAAATTGGTTAACGTGGTTGTAGGAGGGGGTGTTAAATGAGTGAACACGTACACACGTATGCGAAAGGGCGGCGCTGGTCGAAGGGACGTCGATCATTGTGTTTGTGGATTCGTTGGAATTCATTTCACCGCGACCTTGGACGTCGACGCGCCGTACAAACCAACCGACGAGCGGCAACTGAGCGAGCGAGCGCCGACCTTGAGTATATATACAGCACGACGGCGCATGCACTGTCAGCTGTTGAATGTTCTCGAAGCGCGACGCCACATGCGCGTCCACTGGAGAATCAGGAGAATTGTAGATGTCGAACGCGGTGTGTAGAGGAGGAAGGGTGCACAGATGGTGGAGGAGTGAAGCGCGCGCGGTGTGTAGAGGAGGAAGGGATGCACAGATGGTGGAAGAGTGGGCGACGGCGCGACGGCGCATGCGCGCGCGTCAGCTGTCGAATGTTCGAGAAGCGGTGCGGACGGCGCGGACGGCGCACTACAAGGCGCGAGTATAAGATGCTCCGCATCTAAAATAGGTTTTGAAATTTATGACGTCATGCTCGGGGATTTCAGCATGCAACTTAAAGATGCCAGTTCAAACGATTTTTCGGCGCTACTAATTAACCTATGATGTTGAAGCATATGATATGAGAGCTCTCAGAGTACATTTTGTTAATCTAAACTGACTCATTGTTCTTCTTCAGTGTCCATTTGATGTACGCTGACATCAGACAGTACAAGTGTCTCTCGCGTGTTGCATTCATGGAAAATGCGACAGCCCCGACATGGATCGAGCCTGGAACCTCTGGGTCAGCAGGCGAGCGCCATAATCACTGCTCCACTGAGGCGGGTCACTGAATACAGCTATCAGGCTGGAAACTGTCAGAAATTATGAAGACATCACGTTGAGACTCACTGTGGAAAAGGAAGTAAACAGGAAAGCGTGGACAGGCTCGGGTAATAACAAGTTCATAGTAGCTGCTGTGGTGCTCTACACTGGGGAAAATAGATAAGGGGGTTGAGTTTGAAAGCTTGCGGTGTGAAAAGAGAGAGAGAGAACACACAACTCCAGTCAGTCAGTCTTGTGCTGCATCCCTTCCCATCGCGTTGGATGCAAGTGAAGCGACAGCGTGCTCCTCACAAAGACCGGCCTATCATACTCGGTAATACGAAGGTACAGGTAGCAAGCGAACAGTTTTTGAGATCAAACGTTAGGGGATTCCAGCAGCCTTTATCCTTAAAAACTTGGGTAGTCATAACGCTGCACGTTCAACGATGGGGGGGAAAGGTCTCAGATGTCAGTGCTTTGGAGTTGCCACTCCGGAATGGAAATCGCTGCAGAATTATTACACATTTTCAAGACCCCGGATTGGAATCGAAATAAATGGGGAGAACGCTTGGAAGAATTGAAGGGGAATGGAATTAAACGTCTTTTGTACGGAATGAAATGGGAATAAAATTAGGTAGTTTTTCCCGAAAGTATAACATGTTTTCATCTATGTGCTGTTTTTCAATCTACAAAAATTAGTAAGTCAGAGCCTCGAATTTCACAATGAAGCAGTATTTTCAAAATGGCTTGGTTGATTACAAGTACGGTACATTTATGAGC